TAAAGGAAAATTTAATTCATGTATCATTTAATACATTTTGCTTTATTTCAGAACTCTGCTAGAACTCGGTGCTTCTCCAAATTATCGAGATTGTAAAGGTCTGACGCCTTTATATGCCTCGGTTTCACACAAAACAGATCCTGCCATATGCGAAGCCTTACTTCACGACCATGCGACGATAGGGGCCAAAGATCTACAAGGATGGCAAGAAGTTCACCAGGTGAGGAAATATAAGAATTGTATGAATGACAAGTTTATGGACCGAAAGATATTAACAGTATCTGGTGAATTAAGGATCTGCCAAAAAACAAGATTTTGACTTGCCTTTGTCTGTTAATAAAATTTTCAACTGTGATGCAACTATTGATTTTTAAATTCTCTGCTTCTTTTCCCCAGGCATGCCGAAATGGTTTGGTTCAGCATCTTGAGCATCTGTTAGCTTATGGGGCCGACATGGACGCCAGGAATGCCTCTGGGAATGCCCCCTTACATGTTTGTGCCGTGAATGCAAGAGATGCATGCGCACGACTTTTGCTGTTCAGGGGGGCTCGAAGACAAGCCTTGAATTATTCAAGTCAAACTCCGTATCAGGTCAGAATTGAAATATTTATGTTAGTTCAGACTTCTCATTTTTGTAACAATGTAATTCATTTCTCAAAGTAATGTAATAAAATTAGTCTATATTTTCTGACCTCATTTAAAATGTTCTAATAAAACGTAAAAAGATTTCATAGTCAATTTTTATTGCTCATCTCAAATAAAATAATATAATATTAGAAAAAAAATAATATGAATTGAAGAAACTAATACGCAACGTTATATAATTAGTGATGAAAATAAGTTATTACTACATAATTTATCAGTTATATTTAATAAAATCAAACGTAGACAATAATCATCAATGCTATACATGGTTATGAAAATAGATTTGTTGTTCATTATATTTCGTTGTAACTTAAAGAAGTGACAGACAATTTGCTTCAAATTTTTATTAATTTAAAAAGCTT